TTGGTGGCACTCAGTGCTTCCTGAGGTGGACAGGTATGTTTCTGAAATGCTTCCGATGAAAGTCTTCCTCTTTCTAGAATCTACCCTTTGTGGGTCCTGGTAAAATGCCCCTTGCGAGACAGTGAGATTTGTTCTTTCTTCAGAAACATTCACTCTTCAGTTGCACTGATAAATCTCAACATTCCCCCCACTCGCTGGTCTCCGAAACTCTTAAGGAGAGGAAATGCTTTTCCCTGCAGTTCTCATCCCTGGGCTTGCAACACACCCTCCATCCCCTAGAGGGCATGCGCAGGCTGGAAGGCGCATTGTGACCAGTGTGGCAATGAGTCTCCTGGGACATTAGTACTCTTCCCTTAACAGGAGAAGGCAAAATGATTTACCGTATTTTTCGCTCTATAACACGCTCCCAACCATAACACGCACATAGTTTTGAGAGGAGGAAAACAAGAAAAAAAAAATCTAAACGAAACAGTGGATGTATGATTTTTGTGGTTCATGCTGTGGCCACAGACATGTGATCTGACGGTGAGTTTAGGGTAGCCCAATGCAAAAATCCTGAGGATCCATGTGGATCCGTGCTTTGTAACCATGTTTTTGCACCACTGCGGCCCCAGACAACAGTGGGTGCGTGATTTTTTTGGTGCAAACTGTAGCCATGGACATGCTATGTGATCTGATGGTGAATTTGGGGTGACCCAGTGCAAAAATCCTGTGGCTCCATGTGGATCCGTGCTTTGTAACCACGTGAATGAAGGAACTGTCAGTAATGTATGGTATCTCCAATACAGTGATGAAGGAAGAGGAGGGGGGAGGGAGCTCACATTTGTCCTAGGCAAAGCAGCCAACTCCTATAGGCCTAGGTGCCTTCACCCCCCCATTAAATATTTGAGGGAGTCATCCCCCACCCCCCATTGTGGTATGTGAGTGGGGCTTACCTGGCTGTCCCCTCAATATTTTTTGAAGTTGGAAGAGGGAGGGAGGGAGGGAAGGAAGAGAGAGGGGCAACTCACATTTGTGCAGCTGCCTTGCCTCGAACCGGAGCAAAAAGAGGAGGAGGAGACTCAGGGACACGAGCCTTGTAAGCCGCTTTGTTTGAATTTACCGGTGAGGTGCTGGGGGAGGGACAGAAGGGGATGCCCTCTTTGTCCCTCCTTCCAGCTCATTGTAAAGAAAGCAGAGTAAGAGCCGCTTACATTTGTGTAAGGGAGAGCCATAGAGCAGGCAGACACTGAGAAAGAGAGGCTGTCTCCCTTTCCCCACCTTGGCTTTTACACGCTGCGCGCAGCTCTTGCCGGCTTCCGAGCGCCCACCTGGCCAAAAAGCCATAGAGCAGGCAGACAGGAGGAAGAGAGGCTGTCTCCGGACACTCAGCTGTTGCTCAGCTGTTGGGGCTTCTCAGCTAGCCAAGCGGAGGAAGAGAGGCTGCAGAACAGCCAGCAAGAGGGCTCCTCCTGCCTGCATTCGCTCCATAACGCGCACACACATTTCCCTTTACCTTTTAGGGGGGAAAAACTGAGTGTTATGGTGCGAAAAGTATGGTAAAGACTTTTTGGTTTAGGAAAAAAGGTGACCTGGGGAGCAATTCCATGTGCTAGAATATGGCACGAAGTAAGCTGGCACGAAGTAAGCAGGGACACGGGTGGCGCTGTGGGTTAAACCACAGAGCCTAGGACTTAGAATCATAGAATCATAGAGTTGGAAGAGACCACAAGGGCCATCGAGTCCAACCCCCTGCCAAGCAGGAAACACCATCAGAGCACTCCTGACATATGGTTGTCAAGCCTCTGCTTAAAGACCTCCAAAGAAGGAGACTCCACCACACTCCTTGGCAGCAAATTCCACTGTCAAACAGCTCTTACTGTCAGGAAGTTCTTCCTAATGTTTAGGTGGAATCTTCTTTCTTGTCGTTTGGATCCATTGCTCCGTGTCCGCTTCTCTGGAGCAGCAGAAAACAACCTTTCTCCCTCCTCTATGTGACATCCTTTTATATATTGGAACATGGCTATCATATCACCCCTTAACCTCCTCTTCTCCAGGCTAAACATGCCCAGCTCCCTTAGCCGTTCCTCATAAGGCATCGTTTCCAGGCCTTTGACCATTTTGGTTGCCCTCCTCTGGACACGTTCCAGTTTGTCAGTGTCCTTCTTGAACTGTGGTGCCCAGAACTGGACACAGTACTCCAGGTGAGGTCTGACCAGAGCAGAATACAGTGGCACTATTACTTCTCTTGATCTAGATGCTATACTCCTATTGATGCAGCCCAGAATTGCATTGGCTTTTTTAGCTGCCGCGTCACACTGTTGGCTCATGTCAAGTTTGTGGTCAACCAAGACTCCTAGATCCTTTTCACATGTACTGCTCTCAAGCCAGGTGTCCCCCATCTTGTATTTGTGCCTCTCATTTTTTTGCCCAAGTGCAATACTTTACATTTCTCCCTGTTAAAATTCATCTTGTTTGTTTTGGCCCAGTTCTCTAATCTGTCAAGGTCGTTTTGAAGTGTGATCCTGTCCTCTGGGGTGTTAGCCACCCCTCCCAGTTTGGTGTCATCTGCAAATTTGATCAGGATGCCCTTGACTCCGATCGGAAGGTCGGTGGTTCGAATCCCCACAACGGGGTGAGCTCCCGTTGCTCAGTCCCAGCTCCTGCCAACCTAGCAGTTCGAAAGCACGTCAAAGTGCAAGTAGATAAATAGGTACCGCTCCAGTGGGAAGGTAAACGACGTTTCCGTGCGCTGCTCTGGTTCGGCAGAAGCGGCTTAGTCATGCTGGGCACATGACCTGGAAGCTGTACGCCGGCTCCCTCAGCCAATAAAGCGAGATGAGCGCCGCAACCCCAGAGTCGGCCACGACTGGACCTAATGGTCAGGGGTCCTTTTACCTTTAAGCTGGCATCAATTCAGCTGGCAAAAAGTTACACCAGTTCCAAACCCCATTAAGGAGCAAGGCATCTGTGACATCACGATACCCCATATGTGCCCACTCAGCCGGTTTGACTGGCAGAACTGGCACTGTTACAGGCACCTCATAATACCCACACCCACATTTGCAAGTACTTGGTTGTTTCCTATGGCACTTGGGAACTCCCTGCGCATTGACATCAGCCATGGGTCTTCACTGTAGTCTTCTCAGTGCCTGCTAAAAATATTCTTGTTCAGGCATGCCTACCAAGATGTTTAGAAAGTGGATGTGAGTTTTAATCTGAGCATATATATGTGCGGAACTGGTGCTGGAGCACATACATAATGGAGCTAGCCACAGGTGGCAAAGACAAAATCAAGGGCATGTCATGCTCTGAGCATTGGACCCATGACCATCTGAGACAGTTCCGTGGTTGGCATCTTTTTTCTCTTAAGTATTTTACTGCTTTTCCACTTATAATAAAACATTATCTGAAATACTATGAACAACAAGAAGAGCAGCTAGTCTGTCATTTTTCAGGGGGAAAGCAGGGAAGCAGCTTAATGTTAGAACCACTACTAAGAAGAATCCATATTAAAGACTCTTATCCAATAGGTCTCGCCAATGTTTCTGTGAGTCTGAGGATGTTCATAGAATTAGTGAATCATAGAATTGTAGCATTGGAAGGGACCCCAGGGATCATCTAGTCCAACCCCCTGGCCACCCAACCTCTGCTTAAAAACTTCCAAGGAAGGAGAGTCCATCACCTCTTGAGGTGGCCCATTCCACTGTCAAACAGCTTTTACTGTCAAAAAGCTCTTCCTGGTTTTTAGTCAGAATAGGCTATCTCAACTGATCATGAAATCATGGAACTTCTGAGTTGGAAGAGACCCAAAGTATCATGTAGTCCAATCCCCTACAAGGCAGTCCAACCCCCTACCCTCAACTAAATCCTCCACTGATCATCTAGGTGGCCAGCCAACCTCTGCCTAAAAACCTCCAGTGAAGAGGTCCACAACCTCTCGATGGAGACCATTCCCATGTCAAACAACTTCAACCATGAGAAAGTTCTTTCTGAGGTTTAGTCAGAATCTCAGTTCTTGTAACTTTAATTCCTTGGTTCAGGACCTGCTCTCCAGAGGAGGAGAAAGAAAGCTAGATGCATCTTCTATGTGATGACCTTTCAAATATTTGAAGATGGCTCTCATACGGAAGATTCTGTCTCTGGCCACCCTAACCTGACAGGTCAATTTCTCGGCCAGAACAACGAACCACATCTGAGCATCCCTTGAGTCTATGGACAGGGCTGCTGTCCAGATTTAGTAATTTCAAAATGAGCCTCTGCCAGCAAAAATGTCAGTATATCCTGGTGAGATAAACACTGATTTGATTAATCTATTATTCCTAGCAAGGCTAACAAAGGAATTGGGCTTATAATTTGTATTACGAATTGATCCCATCTTTGAGATGCTGAGAGCCAGTGGTGGGTCCTTGAAGTCCTCCTTCTCCTCAGTGGCATAGCAAGGTCAGCTGGTACCCGGCACAGAACATTTTCCGTCACCCTGCCACACACATTGAAATTATTAAAAGAGGGAAAAATAAGAGACTGTAGCGGGATGTAATGGTTGCTGATCATATGTGCCAGCCCTGCGTTTAGCCTGAACTTGACATTTCATGGTGCCAGCTGGGTTATCTTGGGAAGGGAGGCTCCGAAAGAATGGGCACTGATTTATACCTTCATTGTCTGTACTGGGCACAATTTTGGAACAAGAACCATGCAAGGAAGAGGAGTTTGAATCAGATATGTAGTGAGGAATGTTAAAGTAATTGACCCAACGACCCTTCCATCTATATCTGACATGCTTTTAAAAGCGCATTGTTTTACGCTCACATACAGATGAGGAAAAAACTGAGGTTTGCATTCAGAAAGTCCTGAATTCAATCTCTGGCTTCTCTGAGTAGGGCTGTGAGACACTCCCTGCCTGAAACCCTGGGGATTTGCTGCTGTATTGAGCTAGGTGAACTTAGTATAGAGCAGATGAGTCTGACTTGGTCCAGAGCAGGTTCCTATGCTCAGCTTCCTTTGAACCAAGAGTGGCGCATGCCTTGGTAGCTCAATTGGTAGAGCACGAGACTCTTAGCCTTGGGGTTGTGGGTTCTGGTCCCATGTTGGGCAAAAGTTGCAGGGGTTGGACTAGAGGACTTTTGTGGTCCCTTCCAACTCTATGATTCTATTATGTTGTAATTTCTGGACTCCAGCAAAATTTTACCAGAAGGAAATAACAAATGCAGACAACTGCTGGAGATGTGGGAGTAAAAATGCGAACTTAGTACATATGATGATTAACTGCCCGATGATAAGATCATTTTGGTGCGAGGTGAGGATATATATAGCAAGAGAAATAGGGACTTCCGGGGTGGTGCCATCGGCAATGGCGGACTCCCTCTGATCTGGAGGGACTAGCTCCACGCGAAACGGGTCTTTTCTGCTACGGCGAAGCAGGGACCCTTTCAAAAATCACAGGTGGATGAAGCCTGTGACCATGGGACTCGGCGGGCACCCTTAGCGCCCCCCCAACCTGCAAAGGAACCCACTAACGGGCTCCGAAGCGAAGAGGGGGAAGTGGCGCGGTGCTGAGAGTCAACTGCTTCTTCCGTGGAGCGAAGCCGCATAGCCGTTGTCGGAGAGCGCTGCCTTTTTCCTGGGACAATTTGGCTTCTAAAATAATCACCCATGAGTACTTAAATTTCGGACAATTGGATTTTAAATAAGGACTTGCGAGCAGAAAGGAATTGGACTTAAAAATTTACTTCAATTTGGCACTGAAACGGGAAGGTCTAAACAGGAAGTCAGCCTTTCTTTTCTTTGTAGACAGATTAAAGCAAAGATAAGGTAAACTAGAGCTCAGAAAATTGCTTCCAAAAGATTAACTTTCATCATTTAAAATTGTTGAACCCCCTTCGGAAGCAGGAGAAGAAGGGGGATCTTTTTTGGACTGTTTAAACCTGCAGAAGTGAGTTTAAAGTAAAGTAACTTTCCACCGTCTTGATCCTGGAGCGGGGTGTCAGGACTGACGTCTTTTTGAAGCTCATTGACCAGAGACAAACGTTTTTGACAGTTAGCTAAAAGAAGAGAAACATAGTGATTCCACTGTTCCCCTTCGCATTTTAAAGGAACAAATATTGACAAGATATCTGAAAAAGGAAACTTTGTTGCTAGATTTGTCCTTAAAAGAAAGAACTAATAGAAGTTTTCCCCCTAGAGGGAGACTGTGAAACTGTAACCAATTCCAGGGAGCTTGCAGCTGTTACAGATTACAATCGTGGGAGTAGACTTTTGACCTTGAAGGACTATGTATTCAGAAGCTCTGTTGTGTGCTCTCTGTAAAACAAATGCCCTACTGGAACAATTAAATGAGAAGACAGATTTGATGACTGATGCGATCAGAATTTTTGAACAGGCAGTGGGAAACTATATGGAGCCCACCCAGGAATTAAACCAGGAGTGTGCCCTGACAGAACAGATGAGAGAAGAGGATGTTGCTGAATCTTGGGCGCCAGAGATGGAGGGAGCTGTGGCCCTGCAGGAACATGAGCTTTTGGATTTGACAAATGAACTTGGAAAAGCCAGATTTGGAAAGATAAAGTTTGGTTTGGTTTGGAAATGGGGGGTTGGATAGACCCCCCTATGCAGGGATGTTTGGACTTTTCAAGTCTGGCAATGGGCCGTGAGGTGTTTGGGGCTGTGGGGGCTCTTAATTTTGGAGGGATTCTGAAACATGTTTTTAAATACCACATGGAGTTTAGTCTGGACTATGGAAAAGGGGCTGATTTGTTGAAAAGGGTCAAAAACATTGCCAAGCTGGAGTTCCCACGAGTGAAAGGAGAATATGAAGAAGAGCTGCGGAAGGGACATGGAAGGGACTTAAGGGCCTCGGATATAAGGTTACCAGGTTAATGCGCTAGATCAATGGGATAAAAAGGACTGATAAAACCCGTGACCAGGAGGAAGGGACACTGGGTGAAGATTGGATTGTTTTTATTTCTTTTTTTTTATTACTAGGATTGTTTTATAAAATTGATGAATGTTAGAAAAATGTTGGAACGAAATTACTTGGCTTTAGCAAAAATGTTTAAAGAATTAGGTAACAATATTATGATTATGAGAAATTGGTAAAAATAAGATTTAAGTTTTAAGCTTTAAGGTTCTCTATAAGATAAGATGAAAATAGATTAAGGTAATGTAATGACAGAATATTATGAAATGTGGAAAGGATTTGCTGCGACAATTAACAACTAGGATACAAAAAAAGGGAGGAGGAGGAGGTCAAAGAAAGAAGGTAATGAAAGTTGAGGATTCGAGAATGATGGTTTTGTTTTTGTGTGTTTGCTGTGTATTTTTGTTTTTTGAATATGTATTGTTTGATGTGGTTTGTTTTTTCTTTGTTTTTTTTCTTCTTTTTCTTTTTCTGCTTTGTTCTTTTTTGTAATTCTAAAAATTTTTCAATAAATATCATTTAATATATATATATATATAGCAAGAGAAATAAAAAAATATTGTTATTTGGGGGAATTGAATTTAATTCTAAATTATATACCAGAAACATGGGAGATTACAAGGGGTCAAAAAAAAATATGGATGTACCGTGCCATATTAGAAGCAAAAAACCCCTTGTTTTGATGAACTGGAAGAGCCGCAAAGATTCCATTGAGCACATGGATTGACAATATGGACAGACTAGCTGCATTTGAACGAATTGCATGTCGACACAAATTAAGAATGGATAAATATGAAGAAATTTGGAAGGAATATTTAAGCGATAAGGCGGACAGTGGTGGGAAGTAGGGGGAGGAGAGGTGGGGAAATATTGTTAAAAAGGTGTAGTTATAGGTATATCAGTACTCAAATCTGAATTGTTAAATTGTGTTATTATTGTTATTGTGATTTTTGTTGTATGTGTTTTTTTGTGGTTGTTGTTTGTATTGAAAAAATGATTAAAATTTTTTTTAAAAAAATCTGGGGTTTTTTATACTCTGCCCCCCCCACTCAATCTGCTCGCCGCCACCCCACTTCTCCAAATCAACCCCCTAAAATTTCCCCTTTGAATCCCATGAAACGGCCAAGCCTTCTTTCCCCCTTCCTAACCCTGTTTCTGAAGCCGCTTCTCTTTTCTGTTCTGCAGCCGCACTTTGCACCCCTTTGGGTTCCCTTCCAACTGTACTGTTCTATGATTCCATGGCCTCAGATGGGGCAGAATCTCCTTCCCTGAAGATCTTTAGACAGAAGGTTGGCTGACCATCCCATCAAGGGTGCTTTAGCTGTTATGCCTGCATTGCAAGGGGGTTGGACTAGATGACTCTCGGAGTTCCTATGGTTTTATGATATTTTAGTAGCTTTTGCCTGTTGTCTTTGTCCATGAAGTTTTCTTGGCAGGGATACTGGAGTGGCTTGCTGGTTCCTGCTCCAGGTGGATCACATTTGGTCAAAACTCTCCACTATGACCTGTCCATCTTGGGTGGCCCTGCACGGCATAGCTCACAGCTTCTCTGAGTTATTCAAGCCCCTTCGCCACGGCAAGGCAGTGATCCATGAAGGGGCACTGATGTATGGAAGTGAGAGCTGGACCATAAATAAGGCTGATCGCCGAAGAATTGATACTTTTGAATTATGGTGCTGGAGGAGACTCTTGAGAGTCCCATGGACTGCAAGAAGATCAAACCTCTCCATTCTGAAGGAAATCAGCCCTGAGTGCTGACTGGAAGGACAGATCCTGAAGCTGAGGCTCCAAGACTTTGGCCACCTCATGAGAAGAGAGGACTCCCTGGAAAAGACCCTGATGTTGGGAAAGATGGAGGGCACAAGGAGAAGGGGGCGACAGAGGACGAGATGGTTGGACAGTGTTCTCGAAGCTACCAGCATGAGTTTGACCAAACTGCGGGAGGCAGTGGAAGACAGGAGTGCCTGGCGTGCTCTGGTCCAGGGGGTCACGAAGAGGCGGACACGACTAAACGACTAAACAACAACAGTAGCTGTTGCCATGTTTTTGTCAACTGGTGAGGCACTCTTGCACTACAATGGAACAAAAAAGAGAGATGTCATGGATGTTGTGGGGTGAACCCAAAACATTTCTGGTGTGAAAATTTAGTAGATTTCACTAGGAAGCTGGTGTGTGTGTGTGTGTGTGTGGTGCATTCTGGGCACAAAGGAAGCTATACAGTGGTACCTCAGGTTACAGACTCTTCAGGTTACAGATGCTTCAGGTTACAGACTCCGCTAACCCAGAAATATTACCTCGGGTTAAGAACTTTGCTTCAGGATGAGAACAGAAATCTTGCTCCGGTGGTGCGGCGACAGTGGGAGGCCCCATTAGCTAAAGTGGTACCTCAGGTTAAGAACATTTTCAGGTTAAGAACGGACCTCCAGAATGAATTAAGTTCTTAACCCGAGGTACCACTGTATATCCAGTCCACCCTGAAACTTTTGCAGGTGTAGAATATTGCAAGAAGGATTGGTTAGGACCACCCTGATACCCCCAGACCACAAATTGCCATGTGCAGTATCAAACATTTTCATCACACTCGAGTTCATAGTGTAATATGATTCCCTCTCATATTCAAAAACTGATGTCCTGTGAACTGAAAGAGAGAACAAGACATCTACGGTATATGGTGCTATTTGAAGAAAAAGCTAACTATTATGCATTTTGGTGGGTAATTTAATGATTGAGCATGAAATAACGATGCAAGATGCCAGTAGATGGATCTTCCTGTAGGAAGTCGAGCAAACTGACTATTCTGCAAAGGTTTGAAGAAGGGAGATGCACTTAATTCGGTTGCTGAATCCGTATTGCAGTGCAGAGGGGTCGTGAAGTCCTTTCCTTTTAAACGAGAGTTATCCTCGAATCTCTGAAGGGCTGCCACATGGAAGAAGGAGCAAACTTGCTTTCTGTTGCTTCAGAGGGGAGGCCCCGAGTCAACGGATTCAAATGGCAAGAAAGGAGATTCTGGCCAAACCTTAGAAGAAACTTCATGACGGTTAAGAGCTGTGGAGCGGACTCACTCAGAAGGTGGTGGGCTCTTCTCCTTCCTCGGAAGTCTTTAAACAGAGCTTGGGTGGCCAGTGATTCTTTAGCTGTGATTCTCGCCTTGTGGGATGCTGGACTTGATGACCTTTGGGGGCCCCTCCCAACACTACGATTCTGATTCTATGAAACGCAAGGGCTCTTCTTGCATTCCTGAGGACCAGATGGGTGAAAAGGGGAGACCCACGTTTTGTGAGCGAATAAAGAAATCTTACGTTGCTTCTCAAGTTCGCCAGTATCTGTGGTTTGATTACAAAAATCTGAGCTGTACATTCAGTTTAGAAATTCACCCCCCCTTTTTTACCCTCCATTCAAACCTAGATGCCACCTTGCAAAGGATAGCATCACCCAGAACTAAGCCATGGACTTAGAAAAAGGGGGACCTGACAGAACAGCAGCGCACCTTGATGTCGTTCACCTCCACCTTGCACTGAAACCCTTCAGGGTGAAAAAGGTGCCCCCCCCCACCGGAAAAGAAGTGGGAAGCTGCTGACTTCTTGCTTGCCCAGTGGAGAAAAAGAAATGGTTGGATCTGACATCCTTTGGTTCCGACAAGGGACCGCAGCTTCTTAGCCTTCCCCATCTCTCGCTTGGAGTTCCTTCTGTCCAGTTTCGGAATCTAGCCCAGGAAATTTAGGATCAAAGATGCTCCGTTGATTCCGTGGTTTGCCTAAAGTTAACCGCCAGGTAGCCCAGCGCTGCTTCCCAACAAACTGGCCCCAGCGCTCCCGACTCTTCTCTGGCAGGAGCGAAGCTTTTGCAGGATTGCAAGGCGCAACTCTGCCCCCTCCCTCCCTCCCTCTCTCCTCCCTCCCTCCCTCTCTCCCTCCTTCTCTCTTTCTCCTTCCATTCCCCCCTTCCTTGTGAGGAGGACCTGGGCCAGGGCTCCCTCTCGCTCGCGCTCTCTCGTCACCACTTTGACAGCTTCGCACCAAATCGGACGGCAGGGCGCAGGAGGCGTCGCGCGGGGGCCACTCTCCGCTGGATTAGAACTCGCCTCCTGCTCCTCGCCCGCCCCGTCGAGGGTTGCCGGCTGGAGAAGGCTCCCCGGAGTTGGAAGGGGAGGGCGGGGGGACGACCGGATCCCGACCCCAACCTGCCAGATGGTAAGCCGGGAAGGGGTCCTTTGGGGCAGGGTCTCTCTCTTGGTGTGGGTGGGTGTTTTCTGCGTGCCAACTCCCGGGGTGTGCTGGCTGGCGTGTGTGTCACTGTCCGGGGACTTTGGACGGGCTCGGATTCCAGAAGCCCAAGGGAGAAGCAACTCGGCAGCTCCCCGCCCCCCGCCACTCGACGTGGGCGCCTTCGGCAGGACGCCCGGTGAGAAAGGCGCTAGTAAGGGACCGAGGGGGTCATTCGTGGGAGCGCTTCCTGCGGGTGGCGGTGGGCTTTGCTTTGGCAGAGTCCGTCCCGTCTAAGCCCGCCCGCTGCCCGCCCATCACCTCTAGGTAGGCGCGGTACAGGGCACTTTTTTGGGTAGGGGGCTGTGTGTGTTACTTGCAGTTGCAAAGAGGGCCCGTAGGGGAGGCAAGGGGTGCCCCCCCCAATTTCCCAGTCCAAGGGCGCCCCTTGCCTACCATCGTGAGGGGCACCAGGTGGAAGACGTGTTGTTTGGAGGGGTGAAGCTGGGGGGTGGGTGTGTGCCTGAGGGTTTGTTCCGGATCCCGTCGAAGGGTCCTGGGCGCGCAGCCCGACAGAGGAGCCCCCGCCCCGCCGTCGAGGGGTTTTTTTCCGCTCCTCCCTCTCACCCCACCCCTCTTCCTCCCTCCCTCCCGGCAGAGCAGCGCCGCGCCCTGCCCAGAGCTGCCGCCGGCCTTCGCGGGGGGCCCCGTCTGCACCCGCCCCTGGGCCCACTCGGCGTCAGCGGCGGCAAAGGTTGCCCCGGAGACGTGGCTCGACGCCGTCTGGACCGCGGCGGGACTCCTGGACGACGACGAGGCACCGGGCAGCAGCAGCAGCAGCACCGCCGCCGGTAAGGAAGAGCCGTCCGACGGCCGGACAGGCGCGGCGCGGGCGCGCAGGCGAGAGGAGGCGGAGGAGCGCTTGGTCCGCCTCGCCTGCGCGCCTCGGCCCGCCCCCTCCAGCCTCCTCCTCCTCCGGCCGCTGCGCTCGCAGCTTCGCACTCTCCATCGGGGAGCGCGCCAGGTAGGAAGGCGCTAGGGCTTCCCTGGCTCCCTGCGGCGGCGCTTGCATGCAGCGGGGACCTGTCTGCGGTTCCCAAATCAGTTAGTTGGAAGGGACCCACTTGGGCGTGGAGAAAGTGGAGGAGTAAAGCATGTCTCTCTCTCGCGTAACACAAAAACCCATGAAGCGGAGCGTGGGAAGATCCAGGGCAGATGAAAGAAAGTCCTTCCTCTTGCAGTACATAGGTAACCTGTGGAACTCCTTGCCACAGGAGGCAGGGATGGCCACCCACTTTGATGACTTTAAAAGGGGATAAGGCAAATTCATGGAGGAGGAGAGGGTTATAGATGGCTACTAGCCAAACTGGAGGGACACGGGTGGCGCTGTGGGTTAAACTACAGAGCCTAGGACTTGCTGATCAGAAGGTCGGTGGTTCGGATCCCCGTGACGGGGTGAGCTCCCGTTGCTTGGTCCCTGCTCCTGCCAACCTAGCAGTTCGAAAGCACGTCAAGTGCAAGTAGATAAATAGGTACTGCTGCGGCGGGAAGGTAAACGGCATTTCCATGCGCTGCTCTGGTTCGCCAGAAGCGGCTTAGTCCTGCTGGCCACATGACCCGGAAGCTGTATGCCGGCTCCCTCAGCCAGTAAAGCGAGATGAGCGCCACAACCCCAGAGTTGGTCACGACTGGACTTAAGGGTCAGGGGTCCCTTTACCTTTACCTCTAGCCAAACTGGCTATGCTCCGCCTTTATATCTTTCCAGAAATGCCCCCTGAACTGGTACCAGCTAGAATCTTCTTTCTTGGTCTCCTCTCCCCTTTAGAAAACCCACATGGAATTTCACTTCGAGCATCAAAAAACTAGCGATTTCTTCACAGCATCAATGCTGTGTGTCTTCAGTCTGACAGAGGAACATAAGAAGAGACTGCTGGACCAGCCCAAAGGCCCATCTAGTCCTGCGTCCTGTACTCGCAGTGGCTGAACGAGGCCCTTTATGGGAAACCCACAAGCAGGATTCGAACACAAGAGCAACTCTCCCCTCCTGGGGTTTCCAGCCACTGGCATTCAGGAGCATAGCTGCCTCTGACTGTGGCGGCAGAGTAGAGCCATCCTGGCTAGGAGCCAGCCATCTGTGAATTTCTCTAATTCTCTTTTCAAGCAATCCAAGTTTGTTGCCAACAGTGCTTCCTGTGGCAGGGAGTTCCATAAGTTAATTATGCATTTTTAAACATTTATTTTGTTTTATCCTAGTAAATGATTACACACACACACACACACACACACACAAGCAAAACCTCAAAGCAGTTCCAGAACCATTCACTGCCTGGAAGTCCAAAACAGAAAAGCACTTCTGCAATGCAGAGGCTCAAGGCTTGACTAGAACCAGAGGGCGCTTGCCTCCCTTTCACCCACCGCCAGCAAAGTTAGGACAAGGACTGCAAAAATTGTGGTCTCTGTGCGAAGCCAAGCAGAGGCTGATCCATCAGGTCAGATGGGGTGTTGCCCCACCAACCACAGCTGGTCCTCACATGCTTGCTTCTATTCTTACAACCAGAGGATGGCTCTGGCGCCACCTACTGCTGGCCTCCGTCTCTTCTGCCCTATCTGTCTCTCTCTCTCCCATCTGGAGGTGCCTGTCTGGGGATCCTCAGGTCTGGACTGTTTTCACACACGAATTCCCCATCCTGTAGAATTTCATCCTTATATTTTATCTGCACAATCAGAACAAATTTCAGGAACCAAAACGTTGCATTGAAAAAAATGCGATTTTCAAGCTGCCTGGCCCCAAAATGGCAACTAGGCATTCCATTTTGGTGACTGTAACCCTGGTTTAAGGAGCCATTTAGGGCCTAGCTTACATATCTGAGTTTCTGAATTCCTGACCTAGCAGAAATTATTTAGCTGTGATTCCTGCATTGCCCAGGGTTGGACTAGATGACCCCTGGTGTCCCTTCCAGCTGTACAATTCTACAATGGTTCTTCTTATGTTCTTTGATCTCCCTCCTCTGCCTTTTCTCTCTACACTGATTTCCTCCCTGGTATGTCTGGTCACTCCCTGGTAAGTCTGAGGCTGGCAACACTATCATGTCCCTATTTTATTTTATTTTACCGTATTTTTCGCTCTATAAGACGCACTGGACCACAAGACGCACCTGGTTTTTGGAGGAGGAAAACAAGAAAAAAAATATTCTGAATCTCAGAAACCAGAACAGCAAGAGGGATCACTGTGCAGTTAAAGGAGCAATCCCTCTTGCTGTTCTGGCTTCTGGGATAGCTGCGAAGCCTGCATTCGCTCCATAAGACGCGCACACATTTCCCCTTACTTTTTAGGAGGGAAAAAGTGAGTCTTATAGAGCAAAAAATACGGTATTTTATTTTATACTATACTATACTATACTATACTATACTATACTATACTATACTATACTATACTGTGGTTACTTCCTGTCAGCAAAGCATCACCAGTGATGACTTTGCACACCTGGTTCTCGTGCACAGACCAGTTTTCTTGCAAGACAGCACCATCTCCAAGCCCCTCTTTCATCCTGGGCCCCTCTCCTTTTGCAAATTGAGCCCTGGAGAGGACTCCTTGGACTCTAAACACTCCGCAAGATCCACTTGCATCTCTCCCCACACGCTTGCCTCCCAGGCCAATTAACCCTTCTGCTCCTGGGAACAAATGTCATGGCGGCAGGAGTCCCGAGGTTTCTGAGCGGGGGCGAAGGGCTTGTGGGAACCAGCCCCTCAAGGGGCGCAAGAGAGGGGCTGCGTTGCCTTTGTGGTCTGAGTGGGCCTTGAAAGGTACTCCAGGCCTCTCCAGCTCCTCTTGGTCCTGGGATGCCAAGAACAGCTCAGAATGGGGATGTTTGGCAAACTGCAGCAGAGAGCTTGGTGATCAAGTATTATTTAGGGGACAGAATTCATTTTTAATGGGGAAAGAGGGAGGGGCGGCTTTTCTCTTGGGATGGTCTGTGCAGCCACCACACCGGACTGTAGCTCAGAAGACGCCGTTGCCATATGCGGCACCCCTGTTAAAGCATCTTCGCTGGTTGCCCACTTACAGAATCAAGGTACTTCTATTAATTGACAAAGCCCTGAGCAACTTTGGCCCAGGGTGCCTGAACCCTGATCTCCCAGCTCCATCACTGAGATCACCTGCAAGAGCATCACTGGAGGCAGCGATGCTTCTGAGTGTCAGCTTCTGGAAAGCACAGGACGGGAGAGTTGTTCTTGCACTTGAATCCTGCTTGCTGGTTTTCCACAGTCACCTGGTCAGCCACTGTGAGAACAGGATGCTGGACTAAATGGGATCCATTGGCCTGATCCAGGAGGCTCTTCTCAGGTTCTTAGGAGTGCCATTGGTCATTCCGCAAGTTGGCGAGACTCGTTTGACAACAGCGAGAAACCAAGCGTCTGGTGCAGTTATGGCCAAACTTGGCCCTCCAGCCGCTTTGGGACTACATCATACCTAGCTAACAGGACTAGTGGTCAGGGGATGATGGGAATTGCAGTCCCCAAACAGCTGGAGGGCCAAGTTTGGCCGCCACTGGTCTAGTGTCATCGGCCCAGCCCTGTGGAACTCCCTGCCACTGGAAATTCAGCAGGCACCTTGTGTGCCAACTTTTAAATGCCTACTGAAAATTTTTCTGTTCCACCAGGCCTGTGCAGGGGTACGCCCTTCCACAATGGTAAATTGATGTCTTTTTAAAAAATTGAGACTTTTGTCTTGATCCATTAAGATCCAGTCAAGCATCTGCAGATATAGAATAATAGAATTGGAAGGCACCCCAGGGGTCATCTAGTCCAACCCCCTGCAAGGCAGTAATCTCAGCTAAAGCATCCACTTCTTCAGATGATACAGAGGAAAAATAAGTGAATGGGTGTGTGGGTTCCCCGCCCCCCTTTGAGGGGAACCCAACATGCATGAAGGTTTCATTCATCCTCACATTCTTGTAACCCTCAATTCCAGCTCTCTGATTTCTTTGATCTCTCTCTGTTGCTGCAGATCATTTCTGCAATTTGGGCATCTCCCTCCAAGACGATGCAGGGTCTGGAGACCAGCTCTCCACGCAGCTCTACAGGAACAAACAGGTAACAATTGTGAATCTACACCAGTCTGAATTAGGCTGGGATTTTGATGCCGAAAACCGGGGTTTATTTATTGCAGCTGAATTCGGAGGATGCGTGAGAATATCAGTTTAAGCATTGCTGGCCAGTGTTACGGCGCAGATCTTACATGCTCCCCTGCCCCAAGGTATAAAATGCAGCTGGAATGACTTTTGAAGGGGACCCTTTTATTTCTCTTGCCTTGTTGAAATCCCCTCTGAAAATGGAGAAGGAGATGAACTGGTAACCCCGCATTGTGATGGAGCTAATCCTGTGTGTTTAATCCCTGCGCATTGTTCGCTGTTGACTTTCCCCTCCCTCCTGCACACATTTTTGTGCCTTTGTGGTTACGTTTTTCAAAGGAATCTCCTCAAATACACGGCGAGAGAACAGAAAAAGTCAGAAGTGAGGCTGGGACAGTTGTACTCCTGATCTCCTTGGCTCCCTCGGGTTCCCTGCTGGGTGTCGGGTTCCAAAGGCACCCGTGCAAAGTTAGCAGTTTGGGTTACAGGGCCGCGGAGCTTTCCGTCCTCACCCTTCTCTGTGTTTCGCAGCTTCAAGACACCCTCTTGCAGAAGGAGGAAGAGCTGGCCAGGCTGCAGGAGGAGAACAACCACCTCAGGCAGTTCCTGAACTCCGCTCTGGTCAAGCAGTTAGAGGAGAAAACCAAGGTAACCAGGGCAGGGAGAAACAGAGAGAGGGGGGAGAGAGAGAGATCACAGCCTTCGTGACATAGCCACGTGACCCATTCAGAACATAAGAACATTCTTTGCTCTACAGTGGTATCTTGGTTCTCGAATGGCTTGACTCCCGAATAAATTGGCTTTTGAACGCTGCAAACCGGGAAGTGAGTGTTCCGGTTTGCAAATGTTTTTCAGAAGCTGAACGTCCAATGCAGCTTCCACAGCTTCCAATTATGTGCAGGAAACTCCTGCAGCAAATCGGAATCAGCGCCTTGGTTTTCGAACCCTTTTGGGAGTCGAATGGACTCCCGGAACGGATTGAATTCGAGAACTAAGGTACCACTGTATTTATGTACTCCAGGCATAACTTTATAAACTTCTGTCCTGCTACTCTTAGTTGCCTTGCCTCAAAACTAAAATGTCCCAAATGCTGATCTTTCCTCACTTTGTCCCCTTGATCATTTTGGAGGTGAGGGGAGCAGAAATGAGGTTGCGCCATAGATTTGCATAATGGCATGATGATATTGGCAGTTTTATTTCCAGTTCCTTTCCAAATTCACCTGGAGACCCTCCAGACTTCCTTTTCATTGCACATCCATGATGATTTGTGCTCAGGATGCTTTTGGGGCGGTTATACACAATCCCAGTTTCAGAACTGTTTGCGCCTGCAGAAGTTCTGGGATGTCCATACTGCTTCATTTCCAGTTGATGGTTGCCCTGTAACGTCCTGCTGGAATCCTGTAAATGTTGCTGTTGGGATCTGTCTGTCTTTTGCTGTGCTATAGCGCTTCCAGACAGCAGGAATCTCGTAGCATTGGAGTAGCATCACAGAGCACTCAGTAAAGCAGGATAAATCCACCCCAATGCACTATTTCCTGCATCAAGAACATGTTGCAGAAGACACGCACCAGGAATCACCAGGACCTTAAAATTTGATGAATCCTGTGCATCTTCTACTCCGCAGCTAGTGTTGTGATTCGTCCCACCCCTGTGACAACTCCTCATAGCTAACAGGTGCAGGAGTGGAGTCACAGGGCTTAGGCAAACCTGGTGTATTTGAAACAATAAAAAATAAAATAAAAATTCCTTCCAGTAGCACCTTAGAGACCAGCTAAGTTTGTTATTGGTATGAGCTTTCGTGTGCATGCACACTTCTTCAGATACATGCACACGAAAGCTCATACCAATAACAAACTTAGTTGGTCTCCAAGGTGCTACTGGTGAGGCAGGTGGCGCTGTGGGTTAAACCACAGAGCCCAGGATTTGCCGATCAGAAGGTTGGTGGTTCGAATCCCCACGACGGGGTGAGCTCCTGTTGCTTGGTCCCTGCTCCTGCCAACCTAGCAGTTTGAAAGCACATCAAAGTGCAAGTAGATAAATAGGTACCACTCCAGCGGGAAGGTAAACAGCGTTTCCGTGCGCTGCTCTGGTTCGCCAGGAGCGGCTTAGTCATGATGGCCACATGACCCAGAAGCTGTACGCCGCCGGCTCCCTCGGCCAGTAAAGCGAGATGAGCGCCGCAACCCCAGAATCGGTCACAACTGGACCTAATGGTCAGGGGTCCCTTTACCTTTACCTTTAAGGTGCTACTGGAAGGAATTTTATTTTTATTTTATTTTTTGTTTCGACTACAGCAGACCAACACGGCTACCTACCTGTAACTGGTGTATTTGGTTAGGCAGACTCCCCCTTCCAGCCTCTTACGCTTATAAACTGCACAATATTCTCAGACTTGCTCATCAGATGTTCTCTGCCCCCCCCCTCTCTCTGCTGCCCTCTCAAACAGAAGCTGCTGCAGCAGAGTGGCCAGAAATCTCACAGCCCTCTCCAGAGTGGCAAGCGGAGGCTGAGAGCAGAAGGCCTTCCCCTTCCTCGCGAGGCGTCCCACCCACAGAAGGCCAGGCGGAACCTGCTGGGCTCTTTCTCCGCCTGCGAAGAGCCACACGACCCCCACGTGGACAGCTGGGTCCTCCGGACGCTGGGCCTCAAAGACCTCGACACGATTGACGAGTCGCCTGCTTCAGCTAACTACAGTGCCTTGACCCCGGAGCTTCCTCTGGGCTCTTTCACTGGGGAACCACCTGAGGCAACAAACTTTGGGTGCAATGACAGCCAGACAGCTATTTACAGGTGTGCTGCTTTGCTGTCCGCGGACAGGACGAGCGGCATGAGAGAAGAGCCTTTGGGTCACGCACCCGACCCACCTTGCCATTTCTTACTGCCTGAGAATAACTACCCTCCGCTGCCTTGTGGGCTGCCCTGCTGCTCGGACGCCTCTCCCACCCCAACGGAGGTGGCTTTCACCACCTCCTTGAGTCCCCACTGCAACGTCAAAACGCACACCTTCCGCCAGGGACAGGCTTTCGTGCGCCGGGATGAGGATGGAGGGTGGAAGCTGACTTGGGTACCCAAGCAGCCTGAGTGAAGGAGCTCTTCCCTGTCCATCCCCCAAACCCCAAACCCACCTCAGCACTGCCAGGAAAACAATGTGTTTACAGATTAAGAGTGATAAAAATATTAAAGGCCCTATTGCATTTCTGTTGAGAATGGGAGGGCCTGGGATTATCGTTGCTACTGCTAGTCTGATACGCAGCTGTGGAGGTCTAGCTCACTGCCCAGATGCAAATTGCAGCCACCCATCTATGGATCAAGGCTGATCGATGTGGACAGTCAAACCACGAGCAGTGAGCAGGTGGATGGCAGGCAGGTGATGTTCTGTGCAAGTTTGCAAAGCTACATGGCTTCTGCCGGAAACCTTTTCATCTTCCCTCCAACACCCTCCCATGCACCCCCCCCCCCAAGGAGTTTGAGAGCTCCTTTTGTTCCGGGGCGGGGGTACGACTTTGTGATTTCTATCCAAGAAGGAGGCATCCTCTTCAGACCCAGAAACCTTGCCATGTCCTATAGCTTGCCCGGCGGGTAACAATGGCAATCCATTTTGCACATGCTCAGAGACGCTCTGTACCTGCTGCTGGGCCCTAGACGCAGCCCTGGAGATCCATGGGTGAGATGAGCTTTGGCAGCGGCAGGCAATGAAGTCCCCAAAGTGCTGCCCACATGGGTGCCTGTCTGCCTCGTGCTCATTCTGGAGCAGGGAGAGGCAGGATACGTCCCCTCAGCTGCACTTTCCCCCGCTGCTGCCTGAAGAAGAGCCCTGAAGTCTTGCCAGAAAACTCTGACAAAAATGAGCTGCTCCAGTTGAAGGACAACTTGGCTCCTCCAGCTTTGAAGGCCTTGACTTTTCCTTTTCATGTCACCTACTTCCCCCTCTACCGGTGCTGCCCTGGCCCTTTACTGCTTTGCCACAAATAGATTGCTTTCCTTCCACCCAGAGCCGTGTGCTGTTGGGGGTGTCATGTTTAACAGCCCCTGGAGAAGTTAGTGGAGGCCTGGGTGTCAGTGCAGGAAGATGAAAGACAAGCACTGAAACCAAAGCATGGAGTACATCAGAAGCTACTGGATCAGGCCAGAGGGAGCCCACCTAGTCCAGCACCCTGTTCTCACAGTGGCCAAGCAGATGCCCCAATGGAAAGGATGCCCCAAGCAGGATTTGAACGCAAGAGCAACTCTCCCCTCCTACGGTTTCCAGTAACCAGGATGGAGACTCATCGCTGCCTCCAACTGTGGAGGCAAGGAGATTCCACCCTGCAAAGAACTGAGAGTGCAGTTGTCAGTTCCCTGTGGAGAGACACTGCCAGGTCAGTTGTCGTTGGGTCGCTGAAATGCAGTTTCTTCTTTTCTGCTGCTAATTGTACAGTTTCCAGAATTCATTGCAGCTGCGTCTTTGTGACCAGAGCACATTGCGCCCACAGCCAGAAATGCCCTACTGTAGCAAAGGGTGGTTTAGCTGGAAGGGATCTGGGTCTACTCTGAGCCGGTCCAAATGTGTAATCCCGTCCTGACCACTCACATCACCTCCGGCTGAAGACACTGCCAGGGCCACAGACATCAGTGCCACGGCTGCATGAGAATAATGGCAGAGGAGCTGACGCCCCACCAAAGCTGAAACAGAATTTGGCACAGCTGCTTCTCTCTTCTGGCCCCAGTTCAAATCAAGAATTTTGAGTTTTTCCAAATTTTGAGTGTGAAATGCAATTTTATTTCTTTGCTTCTCTTTTTGTTTTTTAGCCACACTACTGACACATCTTAAGGCAATTATGTTAAACGTTAACTTTCCAGATTCACCATTAACTTTGCTTTGTTTCTAACGTCACTAAATCCAAAAATATCAATCAGTGAGAATACTTGGGGGGGGGGGAGGTCTTAAATTAGGATAACAGAAACTCATCTTTCCCTTCTTCAGAGAAATTCCAGAATTCTTCCAGATAAGTTCCAGTTCTGCTTCACATTGCTATTAACAACACAAACAGGTTGTAGAGAGATTGGTGTGTCCGGAACATCTTCATTCACCTCAGTCATCATGCCAGGCTTGAAAGGGCTCCACACCCCTCGTTCTCCTAAATTTGTTCTGAAGTGGAACCTAATTCTCTGTAAGCTGATCGACCTTGTATTTGGGCTGCACATTGCAGAATGTGGATGGCAAGTGTCGTAACTGAATGCTTCCCTGTATGCAAGTGTTCCTGGCACTTAGACAATTAGAGCTGTTCTCCTTAACATGTGTAGGGATTAGATTCAGGTAGGTAGCCGTGTTGGTCTGACGCAGTCAAAATATATATAAAAATGGAAAATTGTCCAGTAGCACCTTAAAGGTAAAGGTAAAGGACCCCTGACAGTTCAGTCTAGTCACGAACGACTCTGGGGTTGCGGCGCTCATCTCGCTTTCCTGGCTGAGGGAGCTGGTGTTTGTCCACAGACAGTTTTTCTGGGTCATGTGGCCAGCATGACTGAACTGCTTCTGGTGAAATCAGAGCAGCGCATGGAAACCCACCAGAGTGGTACATATTTATCTACTTGCACTTTGACGTGCTTTTGAATTGCTAGATTGGCAGGAGCTGGGACCAAGCAACAGGAGCTCACCCCATCGTGGGGATTTGAACAGCTGACCCTCAAACTGCTGACCTTCCGATCGGCAAGCCCTAGGCTCAGTGGTTTAGACCACAGCGCAGATGATTAGCATATTCCTGTCTCATTATATATGCTAATCATCTGCATACTATCCCTTGCTTTCTCCTGTAGGACTAATTGCAGTCGTTAACAGTCTTCATGAGTCAATCACCCAACTCCTAAAACCCCACCCCACCCTCCCACTATATATAAGGGTCTGGTGACTTACGTTTCAGTGTATCTGAAGAAGTGTGCATGCACATGAAAGCTTAGACCCAGAACAAACTTAGCTGGTCTCCATGGTGCTACTGGACATTTTTTTTAATTTATTTTTTTATATGTGTAGGGATTGTGTGTGTGTGTGTGTGTGTGTGTGTGTGTGTGTGTGTATGTAGAGGAATAAGGATCAAGTGAGCCCCCCCCTGCAGTCAAAAGCAATGTAGCCCAGAAGCAGGTTGACCTCCCCAGTGAGAACTAAGCCTAAATTCCATGTTCATTGTTCTCACAGTGGCCAAGCAGATGCCCCAATGGAAAGGATGCCCCAAGCAGGATTCGAACACAAGAGCAGCTCTCCCCTCCTACGGTTTCCAGTAACCAGGTTTGAGAATCATTGCTGCCTCCTTTCAACTGCCCACCACCCTTGTCTTGAGAAACCCATAGACACCCCATGAACGTACCCATGAAGCAGCGTTACACTAAGTCAGATCCCTGGTGCTTATAGCACAGTATTGTGGGAGCTCCCCACGGGAAGGTCTTTCCCGATCCTGCTATGGAAGAACAGAAGAAGCAGCTGCTGGATCAGGCCAGTGGTCCATCCATTCCAGCATCCTGCTCTCACAGTGGCCAAACAGGTACCTCAATGGGAAGCCCACAAGGAAGACCCAAGCCCAAGAGCAACTTTCCCCTCCTGCTCTTTCCCATAACTAGCATTCAGGAGCGTTGCTTCCTCCATCCATGGAGGGCATAGTAGAACCATCCTGGCCAGGAGCGATCAAAAGTCCGCTGCTCATCCAAGAATTTGCCTAATCCTCTTTTAAAGCCTTCTAGGTTGGTGGCCATCACTGCCTCCTGTGTTTAGCAATTTAGCTTTGTAAAGAAGGACTTTCTCTATGTGAATAGTCATTATTAGAAAGAGATTCAGTCGTACCTTGGTTTTCGAACGGCTTCGTTCTCGAGTGTTTTGGCTACCGAATTCTACAAACCTGGAAGTGACTGCTCCGGTTTGCGAACTATTTTTGGAAGTCAGACATCCGACGGGGCTTCTGGGGCTTCCGATTGGCTGCGGGAGCTTCCTGCAGCCAATCAGAAGCCGTGCTTTGATTCACGAACATTTTGTAAGTCGAGCGGACTTCTGGAACGGATTCCGTTCGACTTCCAAGGTACGACTGTAGTGGGGGCTGATCCTGGGAACTTCTGCATGCAGAGCAAATGTTTCCACAGCCTATGATCCTGCACCTCCACTTGCTAGCCGGAAGATGCACTCTGTTAATCATGATGATAATGACCCACATTCTTGGAATGCTGCAATGCCAGCAGCAATAAATTTAATTTAATGGATAATCCTGATTAATTTAACTTGATGCATAATATGTGGTTTGTTTATGATTTTTGTTTAATGTTTGTGTGTGAGAGTGATTTTTTTTTCTTGTGAAAAGAAAAGCCTCTATTACTTATCGCTCCATTCAGAAAGCATGTTGCTCTTCTGCGGACACATCCTATTGGAATGAATGGGCTCAGCAAGGTGCCCATTCATTTGGGGGGGGGGGGAGAAATTCATGGTGGAATGTACCTGTAGTGATGTCTAATAAAAGTAACACATTGCTTGCCTTGGCCTGAATTTCCCTTTTCATTTTGATGCCAATTGATTTTGTGGTTCTCTACGTCCTAAAAAAATGCCAAGTGGATCGTCATAGACTTTTAAAATTTAGCATGGCGCACAAAAATGCCAGCGAGCTAAAATAGGAACCGGGGAGACATTTGATTCAGCTCACACAGAAAGGCAAACTGAGCTAATTCACCCCCCCCCCCCGAAACAATGTGCAACTGAAACGCAGCCAGCTTTCAAAATCCACATTTCTCTGCATTTTGCAGTGCCAAGCAATGGCCACAAAAGTGTAGATTTTAGGGTAAAGCGTGCATCGCTATGCGTATCTCAGTGACTGAAAAAAATGAGAAATGAAAATGAACTGACCATGTCACAGATTCACCCATCCCTAAGTTAAAACCAGTGTTCTCCTTGCTTTATTCCCAGCCCATAAAGGCAACCCAAGAATTTAAATACAGCAAAATGTCTGGAAACCAATCCTGATGAGGTCACCCAGTTGAGAATGCAGCCTTCAATTGGGATGGGCAAATAGGTCAATTTGGTTTCTCACCATTTCTCACTTTTGCAAACTTGAGTTCTACATCAGTTTGTAATTTATTTTTAAAGTCTGCCTGAAAAATTAATCAGCATTTTAATATGAATGCTTCTTAATACAAACATTTCTGTATGAACTTTTCCC